TTACATTTGTCTAAGGTTGGTTTTTGTTTTGTTTTGTTTTGTTTTGTTTTGTTTTGAGACGGAGTCTCGCTCTGTCACCCAGGCTGGAGTGCAGTGGTACGATCTCAGCTCACCGCAAGCTCCGCCTCCCGGGTTCACGCCATTCTCCTGCCTCAGCCTCCGGAGTAGCTGGAACTACAGGTGCCCGCCATGACACCCAGTTAATTTTTTTGTATTTTTAGTAGAGATGGGATTTCACTGTGTTAACCAGGATGGTCTCGATCTCCTGACCTTGTGATCCGCCTGCCTCGGCCCCACAAAGTGCTGAGATTACAGGCATGAGCCACCGTGCCCGGCCTAAGGTTGGTTTTTGTTATTTGTAACCCATAACCCAGACTAGTACGGCAACCATCTGAGACATCTGCGGACCAGAGAAAAGTCACTAAAAGACAATCCAACGTCTGCGTCTTGGGGCGCAACCAAAACTGGAACCTTTCTAATTTGTGGCTTCCGTTTAGCACAAAGCAGGGCACACAAGCTCTCTCAATGAAATCTGGTTGGCTGAGTCTCTCAGTCAGTCAGTTCACAAATGTCTGCCAGAAGCTGTTCTATGTGCAGAAATCACAAAGCAAGTAGGAGCAGGTTTCTGCCTTCAAGGATATCTCCCACATGCAGCCCAGACCCAACGTATCTAAAACGGAAGGCTGTCATTTTCCCTGCCTTCTCTCCCAACCCATGTAACAACTCACATTCGGGTCCCATGCTCCAACCACATTGAACTGCTTGCCCTTCTCACTTCCGTCTGCCAACAGTGAGTAGTTTGGTGTTCTTAGATCACAGGGGTGGGAGGGAAAGAGAGAGACAGCAGGTAATCAGGCTGGGGTAGACAGACACCAGACCTTGATGCCAGGTGGAGGAATCTAGATGTATTGGCTGCTGTCCCAAGTTACTCTCCTCTGGCCTAAATCTCAGACTGGCCATATAGTTTAATTTTTTCTCTTCCACCAAAGGTCATCTGTGTAGAAGATGACACAAAGGGGAACCCAGCACGGTGGTCCATGCCTGTAATCCCTACACTTTCGGAGTCTAAGGAAGGAGGATCATTTGAGCCCAGGAGTTCGAGGCTGAGGCGAGTCATGATCGAGTCACTGCACTCCAGCCTTGACGCTGAGTGAGACCCTGTCTCTTAAAAAAATATTAAAAATTTAAAAAAGTTATACAGAGGGGTTATCTATCATCTTGGCCAGCGATGCTGGGCAAAACTTGAAACAACTTGGTCCTGCAGTATTTTCCAGATGCCAAATCCTCATTCTCTTTTCTCTACTGTGCAGCTCCTACAGTGTTTTGTGTGAGAAGAGAGGGAGCACAGCGGGTTTCAGCCCTGGCTTTGCCCCGGGAAAAATTCCTCCTCACTTCTGCACCGCCCTACCGAAAGCAGGGGCTAAGCCAGCGCCGTCTGCGTCTCCTCCTGGCCCAGGCCCCTTCCCTA